TATGATTGATGTAATTTAAAATATTAATTATAAAGGAGAGCTTAATCATATGAAGCATATAATCCCTCAATATGACAAATAATGACAAACTTTACAATAATAAGTGTACATAATTAATATATCTTGTGAATTATTGTATTATAGTGTCACAAGTAAATCATGTGTATTATTATGCTTGGATTTCAATATGATAGATTAGAGAGGATACACTATCTATTTACTAATCATAAAAAAAAAGTCTTATTGTGTTATCAAATAATTATTTATTAGTTCGTAGGATGTACTAACATTAACGGTGAATAAGTAATAGCATACTCTGAGTCACCTTAAAGATAATCATCATAAGTGACCAGCTGAGCTAGCTTGGGCTACTAGCTCAACTGGGTCAAATTGGGTCAATCACTGGCCCGGGTAGCTAATGATGCATGATTTGATGTATAGGATTCCTAGTGAGATAATTTGAGCATGATTAAGGAAAGGGGATCAATGTGCTGAGCTAGGCAATGTATTAAACCCAATAATTGTGATTTAAGGCTGATTTGATCAATCATGATTAATTTGGTCAACTAGGTCAAACTAAGAGTTAGATTTGGATCCAACAAGTTTAAATGAGTTATTTGAGACCAATGTTGGTGGTCTTATGTGATGGAATTGCCATTTGGTTTGAGATGCCCATTTTGTAGAAACTGATATCACGGTACAGAGAGGAAAAACAGAGAGACAAGAAAGCTGAGAAAGGAAATTTCATTACTTTGCTATATCTTACACGGTACAGACACTTGATATATATAGACTAAAACAGAGGCTATTAACACAGATCTAGAGACGTCTAGAAAATCTGGCGTGGAAATACCATTTATTCTAATACACCCCCGCAAACTGAGGGATCTGGAAGAACGGTCAGTTTGGTTCTGAGTTGACGAAATCGCTTGGTTGATAGAGGCTTAGTTAGTACATCTGCAATCTGATCAATTGTACTAATTGGAAGAATTTTGATATTATTTTTCTTAATGTGATCTCTGACGAATCTTTGGTCTATTTCAATGTGTTTTGTACGAGCGTGGAAGACTGGATTGTTTGCAATGGCGATGGCAGACATATTATCACAGTAGAGTTCAGCTGGTTGATCGGGTTGAATGCCGAAGTCCAATAGAGCTTGGCGAAGCCATATAATGTCCGCGGTAAGTGCAGCCAGTGAACGGTATTCTGCTTCAGTCGACGAGCGCGCTACCGTGTGCTGCTTTTGGACTTTCCAAGAGATAATGTAGTCGCCTATGAATGAATAATATCCTGACGTGGATTTTCTGGACACGGGATCTCCTGCTCAATCTTTGAGAAAGAACAAATAGACATATTACCTTTAGTAATAGGAATGCCAAAATGTTGTGTGCCTTGAATGTATCAGAGAAGTTGCTTTAGAAGATGAATGTGAGTCGGGAGCGGATTATGCATATGTTGGGACAAGAGATTAACACTAAATGAAATATCCGGGCGAGTAAGAGTGAGATATTGAAAAGATCCAATTATTCGCTGAAATAAAGCAGAATCGAATAGCAGAGGATCAGATGCAATAGTGAGAGGCAACTTTGTGCAAGCAGGATTTGCCGTGGGCTTACAGTCGGTGTGGCCGGCAAGCTGAAGAATAGAATTGGCATAGTTAAGCTGTGAAAGAAAGTATCGATTGGAGTCAGACTGAATTTTGATGCCTAAGAAATTATGAACGGGGCCCAGATATTTGAGAGCGTAGGATTTGTTTAGTTGTTTGATAAGAGCAGATATTTCAGTGTCATTGTTTCCGGTGATAAGAATGTCATCCACATATACTAGAATGTAAATTTGAGTAGAATTCTTATGAAAGATTAGAAGAGACGGATCTGACTTGCTATGAGTGAAGCCAAGAGATTGTAAAGACGAGGTAAACATGTTGTACCATTGACGATGCGCCTGTTTAAGACCGTAGATGGCCTTATGCAAGAGACATACATGATTCGGTTTCGTCTTGTCTTCAAAGCCTTTAGGTTGGATCATATAGATGGTTTCGGTTAAGTTGCCGTGTAGAAAAGCATTTGCAACGTCCAATTGGTGCACCGACCAACTATGATGTAGAGCTAATGTGAGAAGTATTCTAATGGTTGGGAGTTTGGCGACAGGGCTAAAAGTTTCGGTATAATTAATCCCATATTCTTGATGATTTCCCTAGGCAACTAAACGGGCTTTGAAGCGAGCTATGGATCCGTCTTCATGATGTTTAGTCCGGTAAGTCCATTTACATCCAAGGATTGAGGCATTCGGAGGAGGTACGACAAGGCTCCAAGTGCCTTGTTTTTGAAGTGCAAAAATTTCTTGATACATAGCTTGACGCCATTCCGGATGTTTGGACGCAGCTGTATAGGTATTGGGTTCAGGAATAGTGGGTGGAATTTGCTTATGAAAGAGATTGAGTTTTCGAACAGGCTTAAGCGTTCCTGTCCTACTCCGAGTGGTCATAGGATGGCGAGGATGAATACGGGGAGAATCTGGTAATGAGATGGGTAAAGGAGTTGGTGAAGGCAACGTAGCAGATGTGTGATGACTGGAGGAATTGAAATTGGAATTTTGTGAGGGGCTCGGAGAGAAATTGATGGGCATAGTTTGAGTTATGGAGTATTGAGCGGATGGAGGGACCAGAAGTGAGGGAGGAATCTCAGTAGGAGCAGTCTGAGGCAAGCTATTGTTATGCTGAAATGGGAAGAAATGTTCAATGAAAGTAACATGCCTAGACAGATGAATCTTATTTGTTGTAGGATCTAGACATTTGAATCCTTTATAGGAGTCAGAATAGCCAAGAAAGATAGATGAGATGGCTTTGGGTTGAAGTTTGTGGCGAAGATTAGAAGGAGTAAGAGGATAGCACTCGCACCCAAAGGTACGAAGATAAGAGTAGTCCGGAGATTTGTTGAAGATAAGATGATAAGGAGAAAGCATTTGGGTGTTGGTGGATGGCATGATATTTATAAGGTGGACAGCCGTAAGCGTGGCCTCGGGCCAGTGAATGTAAGGAACTGAGGCAGTAGAAAGAAGAGTGCGGGTAGTGTCACCAATGTGCCGATGTTTTCTCTCAGCCACGCCATTTTGTTCGGGCGTGTACGGACAGAAAATCTGATGGTGGATACCGTTGGCATTAAGAAACGAGGTCAGAGTTTTGTTTACATACTCGGATCCGCCGTCCGTCCGTAAGCATTTAATAGACGTAGACAATTGTTTTTCGATAAATGTTTTAAAAGATATGAAAATATTAGTAGCTTCGGACTTTTGACGCATTGGAAAGAGCCAAGTATACCGAGAAAAATCATCGACGAAAATTATGTAATATCGAAAACCTTGAACAGACGTAAAAGGGGATGGACCCCAAACATCGGAATGAATAAGTGCAAGAGGTATGGATTGCTTATGTTCAGAATTATGAAACACAAGTTTAGTGCCTTTAGAGGCATTACAGTTTATGCACTTATTATTAAACACAGGTATATGAAGAGTAGGGTTGTCCTTGGATATCTTTGTGAGCACATTATTGTGGGGATGACCAAGACGGTTGTGCCATAAGGTAGATCTATCTTGAGTAGTAGTAGCAAGAGCCTTGTTGTTCAATTTCTTGCCAGCAGCAGGTACAGCGTATAGCCCGTCACGGCATGTTCCAGCAAGGATTGTTTGATGAGTCTTGAGATCCTTGAAGGTGTAACCATGAGGATAAAAAACAACGTAAATATTATTATCCTTTGTTAGTTGTGAAATAGAAATAAAATTATAACGAATATTTGGGAGGTTAAGAAGTTTGGTAAGATGTATCTTACGATCCGGCATCGGAAGAATACCGTCGCCGGTGTGCGGGATTGCAACACTTCTGCCATCGCCCACAGTTATGGTGTCTGAGCCTTGATAGGAATTCGTTGTAGTCATTCTGTCCAGAGAATTGGTAACGTGAGCTGAGGCTCCTGTTGTTGGTGGAATTTTGAAAAAACATGTTTTGAAAAA